ATATACTTCCTACCATATATCTTGGACTTCCCTGGTGGCTCAGATGGTAAAGCATCTGCCTACAATGCGGGAGGCCTGGGTTCAATCCCTGGGTTGGGAAGCTCTCCTGGAGAAAGAAATGGCAACCCACTCCAGTATTCTTGCCTGGAAAATCTCATGGACGGAGGAACCTGGTAGGCTACAGTCCATGATGTCACAAAGAGTCGGACACAACTGAGCAACTTCACTTTCACCATTTATCTATTCCACTATGTTTCAGTTCTCTTTGAGTACCTAGAGCAGGAAAAATTCATCTTCCATTGATGATGCTCTAAACACTTGAAGATTCTATGATGTATTCTTGATGTCTCCCCATCTCTAGGATTCATGGCCCCAGTTTCTTGTATTGCTTATTGTCTATCCTTACTTTCATTCCCTTCACCCTTATATTTATCCTTCCATAAAAATACTCAAGCTTATAAAAATTTTCCTGAGTTTTTATGTCCAAAACAGTATAATGCTTATTAATGTCTGTGACAACTTCACAATGTGAAGAGCTGCCATTTATTGAAGGCTTAGTATATGCTTAGTACTCAAAATAAACACTGCAATAAAGGTGCTATTCTCATTTTACAGATGAGAAGACTGAATCAGAAAAAAAAAAAAAAGATAGCTTGAATGAAGTAAAAATCTTCATTCAGAACCTTATTTTATAATTAGTTGCTGACTGGGCCAGTAGTTGATTTAATAGCAATACAGCAACATGTGGAACATATCTCTGTAGGTATGCAGGGAACCAGAGATACGTGAGATCTCTGAGATCTCACGTTGAGATACGTGATTAAGCAAAATGTTAGGATCATCTAAACAAACTCTGAAGAAGTCCTTGTAAATCTAAGATGACATGGCATGTACTGTGGTCTTGAATAACCTGTTTAGGTGACCTAGTGAAGTACCAGTGTTTCCAAACGACTCTGCTCAGTACAAGGGATTGCTTGGAGCATCTTGTGGACTGGTGCTGGGGAAAAGGGGAGGCCCCGGTGAAGGGACTTCTCAGCTCCCCTCCACTGCTTCAACCAAACAGCTCTGCTCTTCTCCAGTTTTATTTGCTTACCCTCCTCCAATAAGAAGTAGATAGAGATAAAATTGTGATAGAGTTAGAAATAGAGATATGTATATGTGAGTGTGAGTGTAAGAGAGAAAGAGCGAGAAACAACTAGTCAAGAAAAGAATGCTAATTTTGCAGCCAGCTTGTTTGGGTTTGACCCTAGTATTATACCTACCATTAGGCAACTTGGACATGGTTTTTAGCTACTTTGAGCTTTAATTTCCTCACCTGACATATAGCAGGTATTCAAAGAACTTCGTTGAGCAAATAAGTGAATGAATAAATAAATAAATAATTTTGTATTTTGGCAAAAATAAGCTTGCAGGGTTATGTTGAGGCTTTATATAGAGTCTTTAGCATGCTTGGCATATAGAAGACCTTTTGCAAATAATAATAATAATAGCCACTTATTATTGTTGGTGGTAGTGTAATTATTATTGATTTTTTGCTTTTTGGGGATTGATGTGCCAGGTGCTCATGTAGCACTGTTCTCTAAGCTAAAGATTCCTCTTAAAACTTGAGAACAAATATTATATGTTGCTGAATGTTGGGAATGCACCTGAATCCAAAGGGGCTTTCCCATCATAACAGGAGTTCATGGGAGTCTCAGAGGCTTCTTGGTCCTCCACTTTTGCAAGTGTTACCTGAAAAGTTTGGTGGTAAAAACACTGGCAACATGTTGTCTGGAAGAAGTCTTGCCGTTGTGCCAGGTGTGCCAAAATCATACAGTGACTCAATGGGATCAGTTCTTGCAGCCCAAAAGGTATGCATGTTTGCTGTCACTGGTATTCTTGGGGCTTGAATCATACTACACAGTGATACCCATTTCTATCTACTTTCATTCTCTGGGTTAGAACAAATTATAAACCTGCAAACTATCCTTCTTGATGGAGGAAGGAGAAAAAAAAGTGACCTGGAAATTGATGTCTTTAATCTACCTACATTATTTCCAGTTAAATACCATTGTCTTGTGGATCACATTCATCTGCTGCAGATTGTAAATTCTCCAAGGCAAGACCTTGTCTTTTCAGAGACTGTGTAAAATGGTGCAGACACTTTTAGCACTTGTGGTATAACAGAAGGTTATCATTTATAACAAAAGAATAAGAACAATGGCAGCCTAATCACATGCCCTAGAAGCTTGGTATGGAAAAGAAATCCCATTATATACGTACTGTAATCCCATTACAGTGTACTGTAAAAAGTAAGTATGTCTTGCACTAGGAAAATCTGACAACTTTTTTTTCAATTTTAGAAAACAGATCAGTGAGAGTTAATTCTAATTATGTAAAAATTCTTTGCTTTACAAGACACTTTTTCTAAAGAGTCTCTTTAAATAGCCAGATCTCTTTCTGGAGTATTCAAAATCAAATTTGCTTTACAAAATGCTGAATCGATTCAACTTTTCAGGAGCAAGGAAAGTGTGCACAAATGGGGCATTGCATATTTAGAGTTAATGGTGAAGCCTCACTTAGTGATCATAGTGAAAACAAGGCCAACCCTTCTAGAACTTGAGCCCATCAAAGTCAGAATAGCTAAATATGGCAGGTGGCTTTTACAAGGCATTAGGTGTCCTCACTCCAGGAGAGAAACCTAAACCAGCACTGGGGTCATTGACCACCATTAACCCTGTGACTCTGGCAGCCAAAGGCATCAATCCATGCTCTCAAGAAACCATGCATTATTCAACATGTACTGCCCTATTAGCTTCAGTAGAGATACTTAAAAAAAAAAAAGGAAACAATTATGGAAAAATGTTGATGACTTTTATTCAAATGAATGAAAGAATTTGGGGGAGAAAATAGGTGTTTCTCATATATGTGTCATGGGCAAGAACAGAGAAAGGAAAAGTTAGAGTAGGACTAGATAGGAACACAGGTTCAGAAGAAGGGGCCCCCAGATTACAGACAACTGTTTACCACGCACACGAAACCATCTTTCTTACAAAACCCTCTGCTTGCAAATACAAGGTGCTTACCAGTTATTGCTTTTCTTCCTCAATTCTGAGGCACAGCAGGAAAAAGCAGCAGTGAATACTGCAGCACTCAATTTAGCAACAGAGAATTGTACAGGCACTGTATTGGACTCAAAGATGGGAAGAAAACAAAACTATAAGGGAAGAAGGAAATGCACACTTAATAAGACACCTGAATGCCTTCAGAGACCAATGCATTATCCTTGAAACTGCTGTTTTCTATAGTAAAAATACGAGAATATTTTGTTTTGAAGTTGGCCACTGTAGTCAAATGTGCTATTCATATTTTCCCAAGGGTTCTAAACCAATAGTTCATTAGTCTCTGCCCAGATTTAGGCAGAATCTTCCAGGAAGTCCTATCCATTGTGCTGAAAGACTACTGTTAACACTACAGAAAGGCAACGGGCACCTTTTCAACTATTAGGGCCAATAAATGGGGTACTCTGTAAGAAGCACAATGCTTGGAATTTTCATAGGGTTTCATTTCCGCACTTTTCTGAATGATTTTCATCTCCCTGCCTTGTAAGATTTTTGCGTGCTGTGTGTGCTCATGAGCGTCTAGATTGTTAGCATACAAGGAATATTTAATACACTGAGTGTTATTTTGGGCCTGGAGTTGAGTGTGTGAGGGAAGAGAGGAGGATCCTGAGCTGGGTAGAGGGAAAGATAAGTTGGAGATTCTGACCTTATAGGAGATGAAAATGGTTCATTTGGGTTGTTTGATGTTAAATAAATGTTCTCGTTTGTATTTCAGGTTCTGCCACATCTGTGTTCAGAAATGCCCCTCTCACGGACGCAGTTTCTGTTCAGAGGCAGGCCAGCACAGACAGGATTGGAGAAAGGGACGATCCTCGTCAGCAGAGAGAGGAAATCTATTGTATGCCCTGAGGGGAGAGGGATCTCTAGAGTGTAAAAATGTGTGCTTGCTACCACGTGGGCAAGGGTTGAGGGTTAAGAATCGGGCAGCCAGAGAAAGAAGCTTCAACCCTTCGCAAGCGGAGCGCTGCGGAAGGTGGGTTGCTCACAGGGTGGAGCTGGGGGTTACTCCTCAGCGCCTGGGCAGGGGAACAGCAGGGAACTGGGAACCTGTGTGCCAGAGCCTGGCTGTGCCAGGACGAGGTGTTGGGGTATGAGGGTGGGGTGGGGGCCTGAGGGGTGGCTTGGAGCCCTGGCGGTGGCTGCCTGACGTCACCGGCCTCTCTGGCAATAGGCTGCGAGCTGAGCTCCCCAAAGCGGCAGCGGCGGCGGCAGCGCGGCTCGGTTTCTGGCCCCTTCATTCCGCGCCTTCTGCAGCCGCCACTGCAGCCGCGCGGCGGGGCTTCCTCCTCGCAGCCATCTGGCGGCCCCAGGTAAGGGACGCGGGGCGACTGAAACTCGGGGCGGCAGGGTGGCCAGGCGCGAGTGGGTAGGACAGCCCTGGCGGCCTGCGCAGGCACCTCTGGCCGTGGCTTCGGCCCCCGCCCCTGCCCCGGCCCCGGCTTGCGCGCCGCCTCGCTGCTCCGCAGTGCAACAGTTTGCAGCGGCCTCTTGAGAGCGGCAAGGGGGCTTTCCTGCGCGCTAAGGGTCTTCTGGCTCTGGTCCCGGGGAAGAGCCTCAGGACCCTCAGGCTGAGTCTGGAAAGGCCCGAGAGAAGGTCCGTTCCCCAAACTTTGCAGGCGGGAACCCTCCCCCTTTCATTTCCAGCACCATTAGAAGCAGGATCCTGTCAAGTGGGGGTGGAGACACAGAGAGATGGAGAAAAGGGGGCGTTTGCAGGGATGTGCTTTAGCTAAGAAAGGTGCTTCAGCCGGTTTTTTTTTTTTTTTTTGATTGGGGGGTGGGGAGGTACCAAGGAAGAAAGCTGGAGCAAGGGTGGAGAGCAGTCCTGCGTGTCAGCCGTGGCCGCGAACAGGGGTGGAGTGGGATGTGGCTTCAGGGTTACCCCCAGGGGAATGGTACCTAAGGGATCTGGCATCGTTCAGGGAGGGAGAGTCTGGAGGGCGGAGAACAGAAGGGAGGATTGCGTTCCCGGAGCCGGCTCGGAGGCCCAGGGTGGGTGCTGGGAAGGGTAAGATCCAGGCGAAGACATCCATTGAGAGGGCGCACAAAAGAGGCGAGCCGGCGCTCTGAAAAGCGAGGACCGCGTTCCGAGGTGGCTGCGTGTCTGTTGCAATTAGAAAGTTGTGGAGGGCTCAGGGAGGCTGCTTTATCTGCTGAGTAATCGGCATCTCCGCGGCGTCGGCGCAGACCCTCTTCTCCGCAAAGTGGCGAGAGCGCGGAACTGGAGGCTTTGGTGCGCGGCCAGGGGCGGGTGGGCGGACTGGGGTCTGTGGACTGTGAAGACCGGCAGCGCCCAGCTGAGGCAGTGCGCTCAGAGGGCCGCTTTGCAGTGGCGCCGGTCATTCCAGTTCTCTGTACTCCCGGGGCAGCCGCCGGGATCCTAACCAAGCCTGTTCTCTTTGCAGCCTGGTGCCTTGGCAAAGGAAAAGGGCGCGCGGACACGCGTTCGAGGCGGGGCCGGAGAGGATCTCCCGGGCACCGCTCGCTCCCTGGCCGGTTTGCTTGCCCACAGTTGCTCCCTCAGTCCTTCGCTCGCGTGCGCATCCCCTCCCACACCAGGGAGTAGTTTTGGGTGCTGCGGGCTCCGTCCTTTTCTTGGCTGGTGGGAACCGTGTGCTCAAAAGAGGAAGTCTTGTGGGCCCAGCCCCTCCCCGCCCAGCGCCGATGAGTGCCAGGGCGCCCAAGGAGCTGAGGCTGGCGCTGCCGCCGTGTCTCCTCAACCGGACCTTCGCTTCCCCCAACGCCAGCGGCAGCGGCAACGCGAGCGCCCGTGGGCCGGGCGCAGGCGGCGGTAGCGGCGGCACCTGCATCACGCAGGTGGGACAGCAGCTTTTCCAGTCCTTCTCCTCCACGCTGGTGCTGATTGTCCTGGTCACCCTCATCTTCTGCCTCATCGTGCTGTCCCTCTCCACTTTCCATATCCACAAGCGTAGGATGAAGAAGAGGAAGATGCAGAGGGCTCAGGAGGAATATGAGCGGGATCACTGCGGCGGCAACCGCGGCGGGAGGGTGCTGCCCCAACCCGAGGGAGGCCAGGCTTCCACCCAAGCAAAAGAAGCGCGGCTGGAGAGGCAGGCCCGGGACTCTGCCTTCTGCGCCCCATCCAGCTCTTCTTCTTCGTCTCCCCCTGGCCTCCCGAGCCAGGCTCCCTGTGCTCCGCCTCCACCGCCGGCCCCCAGTCCGCAAGGAGCACACACAGCCTCCTCCTGTTTGGACCCAGTTGGCGAGGGCCTTTTGCAAACGGTGGTACTATCCTGATTGTCTAGCCCTCTCCTCTTCCCTTCCTCCTTTCCAGCATTTTTGCCGTCCTTGCTTTTTTTTTTTTTCCTCTTCTCCCTTCCGGTCTTTCTCTTCCACTTTCCTGTGGCCTCCCTTTCCTCTTCCCTTTTTCCTTATCTGTCCTCCCCGTCCTCTGTTTCTCCTCCGCCGAGGCACTGTGCGGTATTTGTAAATATTGGGCGAGGGAAGTCTCGGAAGAAGAAATAACGCTGATAATACTTTATTATTAATATTTATAGTAATTATTATAATATTAATTACACGATCCAAGCGCATGACAAATCACATAATTTCTCATTGTCAATGAAAGATGCGTCTTCCCTCTCCACCTTGCGCCCCCCACAATACGGAGGAGAAACCGCACAAGCTACCAAATATGTAAAAGGCATTGACCCCTGGAGCAAAGAGAGTGGAGGGGCCTGGTGTGTTGTACATAGCTGTCAAGTTAAGGTTCATTACCTTTCTTCTCCTTCACCCCCAAAGCTTTCATTTTCCTTCAGCTTCCCTCCCTTCCCCATTCCTACCTTCAGCTGGGCTCGGGTAACAGTACACTATAAAGAAAACGTAAACCTAAGCACCAGGACTGCAGGAGGCCACAGAGACTTGTCCCAGAAAAACGTTTATGACAGGTACCACCCTCCAGCCAGCCCTCTTCTTACCTTCAGTTTCTCTTTTCTAGGGCCAGGCATTTTAATTTACTTTTAGAAATGCCCCTTGCTGGTCGAGCATAAGTTCATTAAAAATCTTTTAAATGGGTTTAAAAGACCGAATCTAGTCCCTATCCTTGCCCCACCCCCACCTGTACACCTTTGACTTGTGGCATTTCAGGATTCACGGAGGACCCGGGAGCTGTCCAGCTAGATCTGGTGCTGAAATTGTCTCAGAACTGGTTACATTCTTTGGTTGTGCAGGTGCAGAAGGGGCTATTTTGGAAAGTGAATATGCTAGCTTTTTGTTGGTTTCTTTCCTCTTTTTCTTCAGTCGTGTTTATGTGTACTATTGGTTTTCTTCTTGTTAAACATTGCATACATTACCTTTTTTTTTTGTAAAAAATAAATTAGGCAATGTGCAGTACTGAAAGTGCAGTGTTTAACCAACCAGAATGTTTTCTGTTTAATTTTTAGAACAAGTGCACCTTTGTTATATATTTATTATATTGGTACCAAATACAAAAGCAAACTATAATTCTGTACTATGTTCTCCAAACTGTATATTCTTGTTCTTAATTAGCTGTTGATATAATGGTTACCACTGGATGAGGATTTCAGTGGTGCAGGCCTGGCTTCTGCTGTTTCCAGAAGTGTTCTTTTGTACCTTACTCTGTAGTAGACTGTTATAAAAAAGATGATACATATGTTTTCTTATTTCTTTTGCAAATGACAGAGACAACCACAACAGAAAACAGACAAATAATGGATGTGCAGGAATGCCATCTATTAAAACATGGTTAATATTTAAACAGTGCCTGCAGTCCTCCCTGCATGCAGTTACCACCTGGAGGCAGTGGTGTGTGTGTGCTTGCTTGTACTGTGTGTGTTGGGGGTGAGACTGGTGGGGATGTTGGGCAATTTGGATGACAGGACATGCAAATTTTAAGAGAAGTTAATCCAGTAACTGCTTGTAGAATAAAAATTTATGCAACTTGTTTAGTTAGAAATCTGTTCCTGTATCTGGGGTGCAGTTAAAGAGTGTCTCTCTTTCTCTTTCTCAGTCTGGCTTACCTAACTTCATTGAATGTATGAAAAAAGACTAAGAAAAAGGAAAGTGAGAGACAAAATTCAATATTTTTGTTCTCTCTCCTAATGCCAGACAAGGCCATCTGTGTTACAAATGGAATCCACCTATGGTTATTTACCACTTTGTTTCCCTTGGGCTGATGGTAGAAGGGTGCAGAAGCATATTATAACTTAACTGTATGCAGAGGCATCCTTTCTTGGGAACAAATTTGGAAAATGTATGAATGAGAATATTCTACAAAAAGCTCAACTAAAAGGGACCTTACTAACCTGCAGGATATAAGGCAACAGTGCCCCTAAGTGCATCCCTCTCCCAAGTAACTAGTAGTTCTAGAATCTCTGTACTGGTTCCAGGTGTATGTGCTCTTATCCAGAGGAAACATTACCTCTGAGATTTTAGGCCATCTATTAAATTGCCCAAACTCAATTTACATATTTTCTAAATTGATTTAATAAGCTAAATTTTAATCACCCATTAGATACCCACTCAATACCTTTCCTGAAGCACAGAGGATCATCATTTAAGCATGCTGTGTTGTAATACTAAGAAGACTAGGTGTAATCTTTGGATACAATATATTAAACAATGAACCAGATTCTCTCCAGTGCCTTAGTCACTTCCTAGTAATAGATAAAAGAGTGCATTAACTCCCTCAGTCCACTTGGGAATCCTTTAGCATATCAGAGCTCTACATTGTACATTAGAATGACTAAGGCACTCTGAAGAAGAAAGTCCATTAATTTTTGTAGTTCACCCTCATCTAGCTATAGCTATTTAATACCCTATTACAGAATGACTTTTGGGCTTGAAATTTGAATAGAATTAGGGATTCAGAAGGGAGCTTCCTTATTTCCAGTGAGCTCCACTAAGTGCATGGATATTACTTTCTCCTCCTCATTTGGTGCACTTTTTACAGTGAATAATTTCCCCTTTTATTAAAGCAATAAGATGTTCTGTTGTGAGCAGTGCTGGATGATGATTCCATTTCCTTGGTGCTCAAGCTACTCATACGTTTTTGCCTTATGAATCATAGTGCATTCAAGGCATGCAATAATAATCCCGTTTCAAGGAGCAACCTGTACACTGTAGGGGATAATTATGAAATTGTCCTGTTTAATATTTCCCCAAAGGAATAGAGGGAACAGGAGAAATAAAAATATTATATATATTGTCTTAAAAAGATCTCGATACCTCTAAACATAGGCACACATTCATAATATGCTCTAATTGTGCACCTTTTAATATATACACCTTTCTCCATCAATTGACTATGGTTTAATATTTTTAATAGTGCTCTATGTAAAGATGATGTGGTCTGTGAGTCAAATTTCATGCTGAGTTAATATTCTCAGAACTCCATGAGCTTCTGGTGGTGTCACTTGAGGTTTTTTATGAGATAGAGAATTACATGAAATTTTAGTAATGCCAGTTCCCACACCAAATTATTGCAATAAGCACATATCCAAGCAATTTGCACAGACTCTGTTTAAAGCATTGCTTCTTATAGAGCTCAGTTGACAGTCTCAGGAGTTCGGGATGCTACCAACAGGGCATTTTGGATTTCATTTTATATGAAACAAAAGGAAATCTGGAAATAGACAAATTTATTTTAAAGATTTTATTCACTGATGTCCCGTCAAACTAATTGCTTCAAATCCCTATAGCTACAGCTCAACTTATGCACTTGCTATTCAGTATTCATAAGGTGGCATGCTTGATTCTTTTGTTTTTAAAGATAAGAAAATTGGAGCGAGAATACCATTATGTCAACTGTATAGGACTCTGAATCTTAAAGATGTAGATGGATATAATCTTCTTTAGAATTTATATACACCCATAGATATGTATTTATATATGCATACATTTTGTACAAATTTACAATGGACTTTTTGTATTCTCTTTTCTGTCATTACAAGAATGAGATGGAAACCAAATAGTTGTTCCATCCTCTTATCCAGAGAGGATACTGAGAAGTTGGGTATATGCATGCACTTATTTCTCTGGAGTTAAATCTGAATGACTTTCTCTTTATTTAATGAAAGGGGAGAGTCCTGTTTGACTCGGGGGAATTGGTAATTAGATAAGCTTCCTTTCCTTGTTAGTGACTCAAATGTAGCAATGATACTGGATTTATGACCATATCTATATGGTCTGAATATCTAGATGGAAAGCAAAAATACCTAGAAGAGATTTAGGGCCATCTAGACCACAAACCTGGATTGTGGCTCAATTTTTAATTTTCAGCCTATATGTGGTGTGGAGATACAATTTATATCTGCATAGCTAAAGGTAAAGTGAAAATATGACCATTATCTGTTTAGTTTGAT